TAGTAAGTACACTATGCAAATGTAGGCATGAAATCAAAGCCACATGTCTTAATGAGCTCTCATTTTGTTCTAGAGACCAGCAGTCCCTACAGTTCAGTGTCATTCAGTTTAAAAAGATTTAAAATTATATAAAAAGAGAAACACTGAGTTTTTAGCTAACAATTTTAAGGTTTTCCTAAATTTTGCCTTAGATTTGACTGAAAAGAAGTTCATGTAATACAATAGAAATCACTCTGCACCCATCTTTAGGATTAAACTGTTTGCTTATTTTCTTGATAAATACTGCTGGAGCACATGCTGGATCTGTGTGTGTTGCTATTCCTCCCTCGCCTTTCATCCATGAACAAAGGGAAAGAAGTGTCTCTCCTTGCTGTGACATGTGTAGTGGGACTGAGCCTGAGGTCACCTGACAATCTATCCCCGAACCCCCAATTTTCTCTCCTCCCATCTCATCACACCCTTCCTTTCTCTTCCATCCCTCTTCCCAAATAACCTATCAACCTTATTTTACTTTGATGTAAAAACTACAAGTTGTATAAAGTGCTTTGATGTGAAAATGGACTCTAACAAAACCATTTAAACCATGACAATTGATGCCACAACAAAAAAATTAAAAATAATTCTTCTGGGCTGGGGGTATAGCTCAATGATAGGGCACTTGCCTAGTATGCTTGAGGCCCTGAGTCTGATTGCTAGCACTGGAGTGGGGAATTCACTTTGCAGAGCCATGTAAGAACTGAGTAACCTACCAGTTTGAGGGAAATTATAAAAGGAAGTCTTTTCATACAACATGCTTAGATGTAAATATTCTAAGTGTTTTATACTTTTCTGAACCAGTAATACTGGTTTATAATCTGAATTATTTGGTGTTACTCAACTTTTAATTAATAGCATATCCAACATTTTCACAGGAAATCAATGCTTTTATAATAATGCCTTGCATTTAACTTAACAGGGTGAATCTTATTATCCTCATTTTTATAACTAACATTTCCCAACCTAACGGGCTGATGGTTGGGTAAACTCTGGTTGCATATGGGAAAGCCTAAAGGGATTGACTCACCAACTACAAATTTGCCTAGAAAGGACAAGGGTCCAGTTATATATTCTGATATTAACCTTCTCATACACAAAACAGTGTCACAGTATGGGCTGTTCAGTAGTCAGGATCTTCATACTGGCCTAAGAGACCGAATTTTTGTTTTAATAGTATTGATTTCATAATATCTGATTCTCTGTATGATTTCATTTGCTTTGGTAGAGTTTATTTGTCCATGTGTACTTCTCAAACTATTACGGAGACGACTAGCTTTTCCTCTTTGTCAGTCTTGAGTTAATGCTAAAGTTAAATGCAATAAAAATAAAACAATAAAAGAAATCTTGCCTCTAGTCATTGCAGCAGTATCACATTGTCCTAGAGATTTCTAATGGCTACTTGGAATATTACTTGACACAGAAGAGGCTTAAGTCACTGTTTGAGAATCACCACACCAGACCATGCTTGTTTCTGTCACAAAGGTCTTCAAAAAATACCTGGGCTTGGGCTGGGGATTTAGCTCAGTGGTTTCACCGCCTGCTGCGCAAGCGCAAGGACCCGAGTTCGATCTCCGGTACCAAAAAAAAAAAGAAAAGAAAATACCTGGGCCTCACTCATTCCCTTTGATGGTTTCTAACTCCAGCCATTTCATTCGTGGATGTTCTAAAACTGATAGTCATTTTTACAGACTTAATTGTTGCATAAGAAGAATATTTTTCTTTTTCCAGTTTCTCCATTTATGAATGTGATGGTCTTGATCAAATATGAATGATGACTTCTGAAAAGAAATTTTGTGTCACTTCATATCGTCTGAATTCTCAGGATAACCCCTCTAGAGGGACTCCAGTTTGAATATACATAGATATGGTGCTATTGAGTACGTTTGTTTACTAAGACATTATGTTATACTTCTGTATAAGTATCAATTGCTGCCTCTGTTACTACTATAAATGAAGCCTCTCTTTTATGATTCAGGCTATGGGAATAATTCTCAATCTTGCTTATTCTACCCACAGTAAGTGACTTAACATCACAGCCTCCAGTGTAGCAGAGACAGCTCCTCAGGACTAAAAGAGAGTCTGAAAGGTGGTACTTTTACAAATAGCAGCAGGCATTGTGGCAGACTGGGGAAAGAGAAATCTCATGGGATTGCTGTGCGGTGTTGGGAGAGGGGAGACAGGAGGGTAAGGAAAATGAGACGCCTCAGGTGGGAGGCAATTGCTGTGGTCCCAAAGGTGCATTTTAATACTAGAGGCTGCCAGTTTGTGAGTCTATTATTGACATACAGATTTAGGTGCATACTACCTAGAAAGAACCTGGGGAAGAAATGCCTATAATCCGCCCAGACTGGGGTTCAGCCTTAGAACCAATCTGTAGTGCAAGGCTCAGAATGAAGCCAACAAGAGAGGATTTGATCTGAAAAGAAAAATAACGTAGAGGGGGACATTACACATTGTGGAAAAAGCCTTGTTCGTGCTGAGCTCTGCCTCTCATTATCACATGCCCAGGGTGTTTCACTGGGAAATGCTGTCATGGAAAAATGGTCACTGGGTGCAGGTGAGACCCTCAGTGAACCTGGAGTCAGAATTTCAGGACTCTACATCCTGAAAGTCAGCATCCTGTCAGCCTTAACAAGGCTCTTACACTTATTTCTTCACCTCTGATTTCTCATCTGTGAAACATTCACTGAACTCTAGAAGGTATGATGGAATTCAAATGAGATAATCTGTATAAAATCACAATTTATTGTTCTATGCATGTACCATGCCAACATTCCCTTTTGTTCTTCCTATTCCCAAGGGTTATGTGAGGAAAATCGATGGTTATTAGTGACCATTTTTAAAAATGACTGTTGCAGGACTCCAGAGTGATCTGGAGTTGCGTGGTACTCACGTCATTGTATGGCTGTTCTGAGCAGACCGTGGTGAGAGACTGTTTGATCTGACAATCTGAAGGTCAGTTTTACCTACATGATGGGGAAGGATAACTGTGCTTGGCAGTTCTCGTAGGGGTGGGCACCCATATGCACGCACCCATATACTATATGTGTATATAAAGTGATAGAATGCTAGGGAACCTTACAAAGACTCATGACTGTCAGACCTCGCTCCTTAAAATAAGCACTTAATGAAAGTATCTGTGATGTTTCAGAGCATGATTGTGATCCAGAGCAAATTTTATATCCAAAGACTGAGGAACCACTTTTCCATTTGCAAAAATAGAACAGATTCTTTATATCCCCCATTCTGTTTACCTAGTGTAACATCTTACCTAATCTTAATACAGGAAATGAAGGTTTATGCAGTACTATTACCTAGAGTCTTCAGGTTTTGTCAGTTTTCTCACTCATGTTCATTTACTGGTTTAAGATCAAACAAATGTCTTCTTAATCCCATCTTACCTATAACCATTCTTTACTCTTTTATGACCTTTATACTTTGAAGAGTGTTGTCCACTATTTTATAGAATGCTTCTCGGTGTTGGTTTGCCTGACATTTTTTTAATGACTGGATTGAGGTAAATTTTGACCAGAATGGTGCCAAAGTTCTGATGTACCCTGCTTAGTGTACCCCATCAGGAAGAACAGAACACCAACATTCTTCCACCAGTGGTTTTGACTTGGATCACACTTTTGAGATGATGTCTGTTAGATTTCACCAGTGCAAAGTTACGATTTCCCCCTTTGTCATTAATAAGTGTCTTGTCATTTGTTTGTTCCTTTGGGGGCTGGAGATGGAAGCCAGGTGCCCTGTGGGTGGTAAGCACATGCAGTACCACTGAGCTACACTCCCAGCTCCATTTTGTTCTTCAGAAAGGTTTTGTTTTCTTAGACTCAGGGTTGGAGCAAGTGTCATTCACAGAAGGTTCCAAAGGGCCCTGAATTGGTGGGTCTAAAGAAAACCATACTTTATAAAATGATGGAGTCATTATTTAAGTGTTTGAATAGATTTCTCTCGATCCATGCTGAAATGGATTGCCTGACATTACATTGCACGATTTTTAAGTCCTACCTCCAGGCAAATCTCATAGTTACTAGCAAAAATGAAAGTGTGAAATGCTTTTTAATGTATATTTAACAACACATAGTCTGGTGATTGCTGATGTGGAGTCTCTGTGGACTCCCTTTGCTATCAGAGGATGATGCCAAGAGACAACTTTTTACACATTTATTCTCTCTAAATCCATCACATGTTTACTTTTCAAATATCTATGACTGTCATTTATAACAAGAGCATAAAAAGTCAAATATTTTTAAGTCTAACTCAAACTCTGAATCATATAATTACAACCAGTTTTCAGGAAAAGTACAATTACCTTGCACAAGTGATATTTCCCTTACTATATCCTATGAAATTGCTGACTGCTAAGTGATACTAAAGTACAGCTTTGGTAATAGGAGGGTAAGGGGTAATGCTACTTTATTCATCTTTCTGATTCAGAAATTCACAGAACTCCCATTTAAAGGAATGTCCATCATTGAATCCAGTGTCATGTCTGTTTGGGTTGAAGAAATAAATTTGGCAAACTGTACTTAATTCCTTCCTCTGGTATCACTATTTAATAAGGATTAAGGTACCAGTTTTTGCATTTATACTGGGTGCACAGCAAGAGTTCACGTGTTATACTAATATATGCTAAATAGTTGTGTAGTGTATAGATCATTGTTGTTAAAATAGCAGCACTGAAGGCATTTTAGATCACAGAGCCCCAGTGGTCTACATTTTGTTTGCTTCAACATTATTAAACTCAATCTGTTTCTCTAACTGTGACTCTAATTACTACATTTGCATGGCAGAAAAGTTTGCTTTGTGGGTTGACTTTTATTAGCAGAGCTTGCATGTTGTTTTCTGCTCTTTCTTGGTGTTTCATGAGCAGACAGAGCACCTTTGGTTGCATTGAATAATTATGCACAATCAATAAGTTTTTATGTTTGTCTTTGTTGTTTCTCTGATGTGGCCTGTAGGATGCTGCTGGCAAGGTGCTGGACCGCTGGGCCATCATGTCTCGAGAAGAAGAAATCATCACCCTTCAGCAGTTTTTGCGGTTTGGAGAAACCAAATCCATTGTGGAGCTGATGGCAATTCAGGAGAAAGAAGGGCAGGCCGTCGCTGTACCATCTTCAAAGACAGATTCAGATATAAGGACTTTTATTGAGAGCAATAATCGCACGAGGAGTCCCAGCCTCCTTGCTCACTTAGAGAACAGCAATCCTTCCAGCATTCATCACTTTGAAAACATCCCAAACAGCCTTGCATTTCTGCTTCCATTCCAGTACATAAACCCTGTCTCAGCCCCACTTCTGGGGTTGCCTCCAAATGGGCTACTTTTAGAGCAGCCAGGACTGAGGCTCCGGGAACCAAGCCTTTCAACCCAGAATGAATATAATGAAAGCAGTGAATCAGAAGTCTCTCCCACACCCTATAAGAACGATCAGACACCCAGTAGAAATGCCCTGACCAGCATCACTAATGTGGAGCCCAAAACCGAGCCAACATGTGTCTCTCCCATTCAGAATTCTGCCCCAGTCAGTGATCTAACCAAAACTGAACACCCAAAAAGCTCTTTCCGGATTCACCGGATGAGGAGGATGGGCTCAGCCTCCAGGAAAGGAAGAGTGTTCTGTAATGCTTGTGGGAAGACCTTCTATGACAAAGGCACCCTCAAAATTCACTATAATGCCGTTCACCTAAAGATCAAACACCGCTGCACCATCGAAGGTTGCAACATGGTCTTTAGTTCCCTCCGAAGCCGTAATCGACACAGTGCAAACCCCAACCCCCGCCTCCATATGCCTATGCTCAGAAATAATCGAGACAAAGATTTGATTCGTGCCACATCAGGAGCTGCCACCCCCGTCATAGCAAGTACGAAATCAAATCTCACACTCACAAGCCCTGGGAGGCCCCCCATGGGTTTTACCACACCCCCGTTAGACCCTGTCTTACAGAATCCTCTCTCTAGCCAGCTGGTATTTTCTGGGCTAAAGACTGTACAACCAGTTCCTCCCTTTTATAGAAGTTTACTCGCTCCAGGGGAAATGGTGAGTCCTCCCACCTCCCTCCCAACCAGTCCTATCATTCCAGCCAGTGGTACCATAGAGCAGCACCCCCCCACACCCTCTGAGCCAGTCATGCCAGCAGTGATGATGGCCACCCATGAGCCCAGTGCTGACCTGGCACCCAAGAAAAAGCCCAGGAAGTCGAGCATGCCTGTAAAGATTGAAAAGGAGATTATTGACACCGCTGATGAGTTTGACGATGAAGATGATGATCCCACTGATGGCGGAACTTTGGTGAATGACATGAGCCATGACAATCACTGCCACTCCCAGGAGGAGATGAGCCCAGGCATGTCTGTGAAGGACTTTTCTAAGCACAACAGGACCCGGTGCATTTCAAGGACTGAAATAAGAAGGGCTGACAGTATGACTTCTGAGGACCAGGAGCCTGAACGGGACTATGAGAATGAGTCTGAGTCTTCTGAGCCCAAACTAGGTGAGGAGTCCATGGAGGGGGATGAGCACCTTCACGGTGAGGTGAATGAGAAGGTCCTGATGAACAGTGAGAGGCCCGATGGAGACCACAGTGAGCCTTCTCATCAGGACATCATCAAGGTGAAGGAGGAATTCACAGACCCCACTTACGACATGTTTTACATGAGCCAGTACGGGCTGTACAATGGGGGCGGGGCCGGCATGGCTGCCCTGCATGAAAGTTTTACATCGTCTCTGAGTTATGGCAGCCCCCAGAAGTTCTCCCCAGAAGGAGATCTGTGTTCCAGCCCAGACCCCAAAATTTGTTACGTGTGCAAGAAGAGTTTTAAAAGTTCCTACAGTGTGAAGCTTCATTACAGGAATGTTCACTTAAAAGAGATGCACGTCTGCACGGTGGCCGGCTGCAATGCTGCCTTCCCTTCTCGCCGAAGCAGAGACAGGTCAGTAAATCTCCATTGGCTGCTGCTGCAAAGGGTGGAGGGTTCCGGTTTCAGTCACGTTGGACTTAACATTAAAAGATCCACCTGAGATGTTTCTGAGGCACTGTAAGAATTGTCCACAGTGACCCACGTGATAACTAAGCTGCCATGCTCTTGAAGGATTGTTGCAGTTGGTGCTTGTTACGGTGAAGCATGCAGAATCATATGCCATTGTACCCGATAGTGCACGCCAGTTTTCTGTGTGCTGTGTATATGTGTGTGTATGTGTTTCCATGCATTTGGGTGTGAATAAGTTAACTGTACACAGTCCCTGCCTCCCCATGAACCTTTATTTAGAAGCTGCATATTCTGTCTCATATATATATATATGTGTGTGTGTGTGTGTGTATATATACATATGCACGTGTATATATATATGTGCTTTGCCTTATGGCTTTTTAATGAAATCAATATATTATCTTCATATACACATATTTATCCAATATAGAAACAGAAATTTACGGATGGAAAGAACCGTAGGTCCAGGACATCGAGACAGCCTCCATCTCCGTAGGTATAACCAGAAATGTTATCATTCCTTACATGAGTATTCAGTGTATCCTTGAATTCTTTAAGAGTCATGAGACTATCCAAAGAAAATGAAACCAAAGTGATTGTTGATGTGGGGAAGGGTGTGGTGGTGTGGGTTTCTTTATTTTAACTTCACAGTGTCTTTGACCACATCTCAAAAATATCGTCTACCATTGGAGTTAGGCATAGAGGGACAGCGAGCATGTACCTTAAAGTCAGTCAGGGTGTTTCTGTCATGTCTAGCCTTCAGATGACACCACACTCTAGCTACATAGCTGCAGCTCTGAAACTGTGAGGCTTAAACAGATGCAGCTGGTTCTAAACCTACCGTGTTCTTGATGAATACTAAAGACAGTGGAGTAAAAGTGGAGTGTGTCTAGGCGGTCAGGGTGAGATAACATGGTCACCCTCCCGTGTGGAGATAAGCACGTCAGTAGATCGTTTTCCTAATAGGCCACCACAGGCCACTCACCAGTTAGCTCCTCTTGCTCCACTGGATGTAGGTTTTGATTCTATGTTGTCTTTTAAAGATATTTTTTAGAGAAAATTTTATTACAAACCAAAAATTGATATATGTGAAAGAAACAAAATTAATGAGGAAGTTTCCAAGGGGTGACCACCCAGATTCCAGGGCTTATCAGTTGGAGAGAGTTCTTTGACAAATGTGTTCATGAAAGTACCACTAAAATATAGTGACCAATCTTTGGGATTCATTGCTTTATCTTCATGTATGAAAGATCAATCCTTTTTCAAATAAATGTTTAAAAATACATATTTTCCTTTCTACTGACATAAGAGAGGCCCAATCTATAAAAAGTAAAAGCTCTAAGTAAAATGAGTGACTTTCCTATACAACTTCATGTTTCAAGGGGAAATCTGTGTTGAATATTGTCTCACCCCCATTTACCTTGTTCTATAAAACTTGGTTATAGTTGCAAAGTTATTTTCAGTTCTAAGTCATCATTGACAGCCCTAGAATAGGTCAGATAGGACAGTCATGCTTTGAATAATAAAACATACATACCCAACCTCCCCTAAATTTGGGAATAATATTCTTTCAAATTTGAAATAATGCATTGATAATGAAGTTAATGCATTAAAATTTTTAACAAAAATAAGACTCATGAAAACCTGCACAAAGTATTTATGCAAATGGAATATTTGAAGATAAGCCAAATTTTAAGCTTATTTGCATGAATTTCTATCATGGTTGTAGTTGATTCATTGAAAATATTGCAGGTCATAATACTGGAATAAATAGCTGTGGGACTGAAAGGCTGCATACATATCCTAAGTTTGGTATTTTCATTTATGTCAGACCAGTAGAAAACACAAGTTCTGGTGTGTTTATGTCCTTACATTTAAGGAGGGACTATTGACATACTGTTGGTTTGTATGAAGACAGACATTTATTGATAACAGGGAATATTTCAGTCTTCATTTTTATTTTGTGTGATTAAGAGCTTAGCAGTGACCAGCCATGTCCTGCTGACTAACCAGAATGTTCTAGGTGAGGAGCCTAGTACGGATTTGTGCTCAGTCTCACAAAAGGTAACAAACTTCAGAAGACAGTTGAGACATTGCATTTGGGTAAAATATCACTCATACTTCATCTTTTTTATTTTGGCATTTTGTCACACATGATAAGGAAAGCAAATTGGAAAAATATTGTAGAATGAAACATTTTTTGAGTCTACCTTGAAATTTTGCTCTCTAAAAATACATAAATCTTTAGATTCTAGATTAAAAATTTTAAACTCTAAAACTTTAGTTTCGACATTTTTTTTTCTCAGGAAGAAGTGTTATCTTTGTTGAGTCCCTGACTTGGATGAATAATATGAGATTAGTTACCACTAAATAAGAAGAAACAGTGATGCTTTTAGGATATCACCCGCTTTCTGTAGCTCAGCAGGGTGGCTGTGGAATATATTTGTACTCCTGCTTCAGCACTTTATCCCTACTTCATCAGCTAGTGTCAGGCCTGTGAGTCAGTCTCTTCATCCCCAAAGCCTCTTGGGTCGCCCCTCCATCTGCCCTTGAACTTGCTTTTTCCTCCCTCACCACTTTTACTGTATTAGTCACGAGGACCCCAGCAAGCCTGTGCTCCTGTTTCTTCACCTCTTCAGTTTACTATGAAGCCAAAACATGGTTTCTACCTTTTTCTTGAGCTAGTAGGCTTTTCCAAAGAAACCCTTCTTTGTCTTAATCCTGCTGTCCTCAAGCTCTTTCTTTCCTCTCCTCAGCCTCATCCAGCCTTGATCCCACACACTGTGTCTTCCTCGTGCAGATTTAGAACTCAAGAAGGTTTGGGGTGAGGGCTGGCATGTGAGGCCAGTACGCTGCCTGTGAGAAAGCTCACAGAGGCACCCTCTTCCTCTGTGCTCATCTTCAGGATCAGAACACCTTAAGGGAGTCATGTGCAGTCCCCCTGGGCTGCTTCCTAGGTGGGTGGACAGGAGAGCTTGTGTTTGGACTTGAGGTAGGCCTATTAGTGAGGTACACATAGAAGTGAATCAAGTAATGTGTTGTGGGTCTCACAGAAAAAACTCCCAGGTCTTTGCTATGGTCCTGGATTTTATAAGATCAAATTGAAGACTTTTTGAAAAGCGACAATGTTCTTTTCTCTAGTAACAGAAAGGCAGGAGAGACACACAAGGTTTGTCAGGGTTGAGAATTATAAGCAACATAGTCAAAGCTATTCTTTTTTGCACAGTTGTCAACAAGTGTGTGTTTAGTGAGTTCAAAAGCCAAGAAGGCCATTCCACAGTAATGACAGAGCAAAAAGCCAATATACCCAGTCCAATATACCTAGCCCAATCACTAGGTAGCTGTTAGAGTAATTTTTATTCTGAGTAACAGAGGTGAAAGGTAAATAATTTTCTCTGTAAAGAACTCTGATACTCCTAACATGATTGCTAAGTGTTCAGTATATGTTGATATAACACTATACAGTGTTAGATTTTGAAAATCCTTCCTTGTTTATCTCTTTAATTTTTCTGCTGCTGAGCTGCAATTCTGCCAGGAAACAGGAAGCCGGCCCTTAGTATGAAACCTTTGCTAGGAAGAAGAAATTCTGGCTGGCTGACTGGACCTATAGATTTGATAAGAGAAATTTTCTTGAAGGTAGCATCATAGTCAGAATTAGCTGACTTAGTTCACGTTTGGTTATTTCTCATCCTCCAACCTAAAGTTTGATCCTCAGGAAGGCTGACTGGCCCGTGGATGACGTATATTTAGGGGAGTCAATGTATAAGTTACATTTGCTTTTTTTCGGGGGCGGGGGGGGGATGAAGCAAATACATACTCTTCTGTCCTCTTTCTTAACACTCATCATCATTTGTCAGTATGTCAAGATTTACTTACATTTGTTTCAGTAATTGGGAGTTTTAAAACTCCCTCAACTAAAATGAAAACTTTGTACTCAGAAACTACATTAGAAAAGAAATATTTCTATTTTTTCATCCTCCGTGAGTATCATGATCTTTATTCTTCTCTTCTCAGAATAGTGGCCACTAATTGCTAAAGTTTGTCTTAAATTTTATCAGAAAGGTGAGCACATATCTATTTGATTTTTCAAGGCATAGCAAAGGTGATCCAGCCACATGAATAAGTATAAAAAATAATATTTGTTTAGGGTGATTTATAAATAAATATGAGGCAACCACAGGTGCCGAGTGTGAACCTTCTGTTTGACTGCTAGTTAAATCAGTCCAGATTTAAACATGTAAACTTCTTGATTTGTATGGAGCAAGACATCTGTATTTGGTTTATTAAAACCTGCTGATGTCTCCAGAACTAAATTTGTTCATATATAGGCCTCTGGGTAGCTGTAGCTAAAAAGCAGAGATGTATAGTTTTTGCCTCTCTTATTACCTGACTTCCAGCTCTGTACAGGTGTGCAGGAATAAATTAACACGAGCTACCTCTGATGAGCCACTGCATACATTAACAACAGAGGTGAAGATGTGAAAACATGCTACCTGCCTCCTGTTATCACCTTCTCAGCATAGCAACATTCATCTTTTCCATCATTCTCTATGTTTGGAAACTTATAGAGAACTTTTCTAGAGAGAGCTTTTCAATAAATACACATGATTTCACCAGGCAATACCTCCAAGAAATGAGCCACTTAGCACCAATTCAAGATAACTACTCTATTAGTATATTTGCCTAATATAATTAGCTGTCAATTACAGTGTGTTAATCCTCTCCAAGTTCAAGAGAACATTTTAAGGGATCATCTGTTTCATTTCCTGTTGTTTTGTTCAGTGAAGCTCCAACTCTGCATTTATACAGTCCTTTTAGAAATTGTGCAGGCCATCTGACTTCTAAATGTTAAGGAAGAGATTTTTTTCTTCCTGCTGCTCTATTTGATTTCACAATGGAGCTAGCAGATCAATAGGCCTTTTGTACTTATCTTCATTACTTCCCATCAAAAGCAAACAAACAAAATAAATCCCCTCCTGAGTAATTGCTAGTTGTGCCCTCCTCAAACAAAACTTTGGTAGTAAGATAAACTTTGGTGTCATTCCTGTCCCTGAGGTTCTTTTTATACACTGGGAGAAGAGCAATGAGCAAAACGGTCTCCTTGTATCATGGGGAGAGACTCTGTCAAGCCTAAAGTGAATCTCTGATCTTCCTAATGACCTCCTGCTGGCCCAGCTGGATGCAAGACAAGCTCATTTAAGCCTCTGCTGACCTTTCACTCCACCACGACAAGAACTACAGCAGTCACTGCCAGTGTCTTCAAAACTCTGCACCAAATAGACAGCAAAGTTTAATGGCTGGTGATTCATATCCCTTGCAGGATGCAAAGAGATTTTTACAAATTTCTATTGATGGGAGTTAACATTAAATCTCCTCTGACTATATCACTTCCACTGCATAAATGTAATGCTACCAAATGGCCCTTATTTTTACCTTCTCTACAAAGGCAGAAACTACTGTTCTCACCAGCATTGTCTCAAAAATTCTGTGGCAAAA